CCATGTTTTTCCAATTGTAAATAAAGCAGCAATAAACATGGGGGTACAAGTATCTTTTTCAATCAGTGTTTTTGTGTCTTTTGGGTAGATACCTCACACCTAGTTATTTTTTTACAAGAACTTTATCATATGATCCTCAGTCTATAATAATTATAGATGTGTAATTATAAATTAATAATTTGTATACAAAAATGTAGGTTTTATTTTAGGTGGAGACAACTTATTTCAAACGATTTTTGACTCTAATTGTGTGTAGATATTTCCACGATTTTTTTAAATGGGGGAAGAAATAAAAATACCATTTGTTTTTAAACATTACAAAGGATAGAACATTCTGAGTGATCTGAAAAAGAAGAGCAGATCAAGGTAATGGAATATATAGGATAAAAGTCTATTTTTTAAAATATTTTATTTATTAATGCATACAAGAACTGTGGCACAGGCCAGAGATTCAGGGGCCATCAGAGAATTCACCAGAGGCAGAGTGGGGAGCAGAACAGGCAAATTGACTGAAGTACACTGCTGAGGGGAGCAGTGGGCCAGTCAGCAGAGATCTGTGGGTGAGCTCCCTGGTGGGAAATTGAACTTGCATTGAAGTGGCCACTGCCAGCTTAGCAGTGCTGAGTTCCAGTTGCTGCACCACCAGGGAGGGCCCTAAAAGTCTGTTTCTTTGAAATAAATATTTTTAAAATGTTTGACTATTTCATGTATTTTTAATACAGTTTTGTGTTATATACAATGATCCTTAATTAATTTGAATTGAAAACCCAAGACTTACTTAGATTTCAAGAAAACCAAGGAAATATTTTTCTTAAATTCTATTTGGGCAAAATTTAAACTATTATACTAAAAGATTTCAGAATTTAAGAAAAAAGGAATATAGAATTTAATATTTTTATTGTAAAATTTTAGTTTTGCTTTTCTTCATTTCTATTAAAACGTGACTGAACTGTATAAATATAACACTTGGAAAAATTTTTTGCATGTAATCTGAGAAATCTACTTTGATTCTCATTGATAATCTCAGTGGTGGTGGAGGAATCTTCTGAACTGAGCAACATGATTATTAGTAATTCAAATGGTTCAAGTGTATTTAGAAAGTAACCCTCAAAGGTAACTTCTCCAAATATTCTTGAATATAAAGTATAATTCAGTGTTGCTTTATAACCTCACCCAGTGAGTTAGCTCAATTTACTATTATCTTTTTATGCAAAACCACACTATATTTAAAAATAACAGAAATGTAGCACAATGAATTGTCTGGTTATGCCAGCTTACTGTAAATAGTTGACTCTTTCCCAAAAGGATCTGAACATATTTATTTTAGTTATCCTATCGTTTAAGAATTTAGGCCAGATGATTTTATTTATTTACTGTTAAATAAATCTGTGAATATGATACAAAATTATATATCTTAGAATATAAATTAGTCCAAGGCTTATGGAGATTTGTTTATCTATCTCAGGAAATGGAAATCTAAAGATCATATAATTGGCATTAGTGTGGGTAAATTGGCAGTGAATATTCATTAGAGATTCCCAGTACTTAAATCAAGAGAAGTTGCTGAATTGTTCTTAGATTAAATTATTGAATATTTGGCCCTCCCTGGTGGCGCAGCGGGTTAAAGCACAGCACTGAGAATCTAAAGCCGCTTCCGCATGAGTTCGATTCCCGCCTGCCCCGGAGGTGACCACATGGCGTGGCAGACCTCTCCTGACCCGCCCGCTGCTCCCCTCAGCAGTGTACTTCATCGAGCTGCCTGTTCTGCTCCCCACTCTGTCTCTGGTGAATCCTCTCACCCTCCGCATCTCTGGCCTGTACCCCAGTTCTGTATGAATAAATAATAAATAAATCTTTAAAAAATTATTGAATATTTTAGCTATAAAACACTGAAATGATTTGGACATATTCTGACATGCACCCTTAATGTTCTCACATCATTGTTTGTCTGATATACTCCACACTTTATCTCAGTGTGGTTTGTTTCAGCCATACTGGTTTCCTTCCTATTCCATGAAACACAAAATCAGACTCCAATTCATCATTTATTGTTCTTCTACCCAGAACACTTTTCCCTGAGAAACATCAGATCTTTGCTCAAATGTTATTTTAGAGCATACAGGACTGTGGTGATGGCACATGGGTGAATTGGTGGTGGGAATTCCAAAGGGGTTACAACTGAGATGAAAAAATGTACAAAATGAAGAATAATGTAAAAAATTCGTTTATAAAAAAAGTCAAAAAAAAAAAGGTTATCTTCTTAGTAGAGTCTGACCTAGTCTCCTAATTTAAAATCATCTCCATCTTTAACACTAATCTTCCTTTTCTCCATAGACCTAATTATTACCAACATCCTATATATTTTACTACTTATTTAGTTTTTTTTTCCCATTTAAACTTGATTTACCCATAAAGGCAGAAATCTTTACTACGTTGTTTATCTATTTGATTGTGTATCCCATATAAGCAATTTGCTTTTTGCATGGAAGGGAAAAATGGATACAAGCTGTTGTTGTACCATAATAGTTTCCACTGAAGATCACAGTTCAAACTCTTGGAAATGACTCAATATATACATCTGAAACCATTATGATGGTCGATGAAGGTAGTTGCATATTCTAACAGTTTAGAGTGATAGGCCTCAAACAGGACCTTTGTAGCACACTAAGCAGCAGCAAATATGAATGTACATTTCTTAATTTTAAACTTTCTACTAAGATTATTTAGAATTAAAAAGATGATCAAATAACCAGCAAGAGTATTCAGTAGATGATATTTTGCTTTCACTCAAGATACAAAAAACAATAATTTGTCTGCCAATTATTAGTTATTGTCTGTCAGTTCCAAATCCACTCTTTTTTAAAAGATTTATTTATTTATGCATACAAGAACTGGGGTACAAGCCAAAGGGGTGAGGGGTGAGAGGATTCACCAGAGACAGAGTGGGGAGCAGAACAGGAAGATTGATTGAAATATACTGCTGAGGGGAGCAGAGGGCAGGTCAAGAGGTCTGCCATGCCACGTGGGTCACGTCCCTGGCTGGATGGGAATCGAACTCGTGCTGCAGTGGCAGCAGACCACCTCATAGTGCTGTGCTTTAACCCGTTGCACCACCAGGGAGGGCCCCAAATACACTTTTCTGCAAAAGAAGAGATGAACCATTGACATACTTTTCCTTTGATGACCAGTGTAATGTTGAGCTTTGTCAGTAGAAGGCATGATGTTAGGAACCTTTCAGGAAGAAGGGGCTTCTCTCCTGGGTTCTGGTGTGCTTTATAGACAGCTTTCTGCAGTCCAGATGGCTTCCCAGGAGTCAGGCTGCTATAGCGCACACAGCTTCTCTATGTCTGGTCCTCTTTGCCTTGCCTCTGTAGCCCCAAGCAGCCAGCAGCTCTCCTGGGAGTGATTTTATAGCAGAGTGATTATGGTAAGACAGCTTTGTCAACAGCTTTGACTGGCATCCTAGGGGGTAGATTACCAGCAAGTTCACTATCACAGAGATATCTCTGCCATCCAGTGAGTCCAGGCTTTTACAAAATCCAGTTTCAACCCTGAACTCTTTTTACCAGGGGTGGTGGCTGTTGTTTATATCTACTATTCCTATTGTTTACCCTTCTCTTGACTTTCTTTTTTTCCTAACCAATCCCTCACTACTACAATCCTATGTTAGTTAATAAATCTTAACCTTACATATTTCCTCCTCAAATTATTGTATGGTTTACCATTCTTGAGTGGGCCCAAACTGATTTAGCCTATAATTTCTAGTCATTTATTTTAGTAATTGTCCTTGAGGAGTTATTTCTAGCAGCAGATCAAGCTATATTAACAATCGTGCAGATTATAATACAAATTTAAGTGGCAATTAATGTAGAAATATTTTTGAGTGTCTAATAGAGTCAATATAAACACTACTCAAAATGAAATATGCACAATGATTGGATTTTGTTAATGACTACAGCATTTATCAAAGTTAAAAAGCATACAAGTAGTGCAATTTCCTTTTGCTCTTAGATTTTTTTACCCACACCTTCCATTTGTATGTCATTCCAGCAGGAGAGGAAATCTGCTCCACTGCTTACACTCTAGTTCCCTCACCTCTCTTTCCATAGTTCATTTCTTCTATTAAATTTGTAAATTTAGGGCCCTCCCTGGTGGCACAGCTGGTTAAAGCAAGCACTGCAAAACTGGCCCTGGCCACTTTGTGAGAGTTCCTCTGTCAGCTGCTCTGCTCAGCAGAGTACTTAGTCAGTCTGCTTGTTCTGCTCCCTACTGTCTCTGGTGAATCTTACCGCCTCTGCACCTCTTACCTATACTTCAGTTCTGTATGCATGAAAACAACAACCTTTAAAAAAAATTGTAAATTTATTAAATAATGGTTGTAATGCAGCTTCATGAACTGTAAGGGGCAAATGAAAACCGAATATATCACACCACTAGGGATTTATGTATACATAGCTTTTAAAGAAGCAAATGCATTCTTTTTCTGAAATAAGAGCCTGAGTTCTGAAATTAAATTGTTTTACTTTAAATTTCTTCTCTTACTGCTTACTTTGGCATGTTAGCTTCTCTGAACCTCTTCATCCATTTTTTAAAAGATTGAGTCTTTTAGAGCAGTGCCTAGAACATAGTTTTCAATAAATTTTAGTTACTATTAGTGCAATAGTAAAAGTACAGCAGTTTCTAAGCTTGGATTATGCTGGCAGCCTCATCTGATAAACCCTATTCCTTAGAAATGACTAATGCCTATGTAAATATTCACGAGCATAGAAAATCAAGGAACAATGTCACCAATGAATTTTGAACAAATTCTGAAAGGTAGTGTGTGAAATTAGGGGCAAAAGAAGTAACGATTTGAATTGGGTATATTGAGGACCTCTCTGAAAGTAGAATCATTCCAAGATTAAACTCTGACTATGGATGGGTATTGTCTGGAACAGAGTGGCTGTGTATGGAGCATGGGAAGGTGGTGAGATGGGCATTTGGCCAGCATTTAACTGGTGTTGAGGAAATAGAGCAGTGGAGCCCTTAAGCTACCTATTAAAACAGGCATATGGTACCTTTTGCGGCAACATGGAGTTGGAAAAGATCATGCTTAGTGAAATAAGCCAGAAAGAAAAGGAAAAATACTGGATGGTTTCACTCATAGCAGGAGTATAACGGTCCAGGAGAGAAAATAATAATAATAACGAACAGCTATATACCAGAGAAATTTTGTGGGGGTGTAGCGGGGAATGGGATCAAGAACAGCGGGGGGAGGGAAATGCTGGACTATGGTGATGGCACATGGGTGATTTGGTGATGGGAAGCCCACGAGGATTACAACTGAGATAAAAAAATACAAAAGGATGTAATAATAAACTATTATATTATTTTTTAAAAATCCTACTTCTATATAACTTCTCTAATACTAATAACTCACTCTAAAAACAAACCAGGCATATGGGCACTTTGATTAGTGAGGCAGACAGCAACTGAGAAATAAGGAGTATTCCTCCCACCCCCACCATTGAAAAGACAAGCTCTCAGTTGCCCCTGAAGGCAGTTAGGATCATCTATTTGTGTGGTTTTCATGCAACCATAGACAATTAGATCTGAGGCAAAGTGGAATATAGGATAGATGTATGTATATGTCTGTGTATGTGAAGTATTACTTACCTTGTTCTCACCACTAATGTTTCTAAAAGAAAACTCAAAAGTTTATTCTTTTTCAGAAGCCTTCTTGCATTATTTGCAGTCTCATATTGTACTTGTGATTAACTGTAAACTGTTCCTCCCAACCCTGCCCCCCCCATCTCCACATTGTATACTTTGGAAGGAAATTTTTTGAAGGGAGAGCAAAGGGCTCAAAACCAAGGAATGTAGCTAGCCTTAGCAATTAGATAAGCAAGGATTCTTTCCTGCAGCTTCCCAGAAGGAACCAGTCTTGTCAACACTTTGATTTTAGCCTCTGAAGTCTCTTTGGATTTCTGACCTCCAAACTATAAAAGATGTATAATGTTAGGCAGACAAATTTATGATAATTCACTATTACCTCGTCTGAACTTGATTGTATCTGCAAAGATACATATTTCCAAATATGATCACATTCATACGTACTAGAGGTTAGGACTTGAATGTATCTTTTTTAAAGATTTATTTATGATACAAGAATTTGGATATAGGCCAGAGGTGTGGGTATGTGAAAGGATTCACCAGAGACAGTGTAGAGAGCAGAACAGGCAGATCTATTGAAATACATATTGAAATACACTGCTGAGAGGAGCAGCAGGGGAGTCAGTGGAGGTCTGCGGCACCAAGTGGGACAGCTCCCTGGCCAAGGATCTAACTGGAGATAGCTTGATAGTTCTGTCTTTAACCCTTGTGCCTCAGAGAGACCCCCTTGAATGTATCTTTTGGGGGAAAACAATTCAACCCATACACCTGTTAAAAAAAGTCAATTCACAATCATAAATGATTTTATTAGGGATAGAAAAGGGCTCTCCACACTCCTCCAGAGGAGAACACTTGCATTTCAGGAATCCCATAGCTCCCAGAAGAATCTTTTAATGACTTGAAAAGCCGGAGGGAGGGATATTTCCAAATAATCTGGAATTGGTAGGAGTGATGGCAGCAAGGTATGCTTAATTAAGAGGGACCTTTCCTCATCCAGATGGTAAAAAATCTTAAAACCTCTACTGCTAATTGCTCAGTGCAGCTCTCCTGCTATTCTGAGACTACCTCACTGACTCTGCCAGTGTTCTGTCCTATGGTTTCCTAATAAACTTTGTTACTGGCTTCATTCTTGAGCTGCATGAAATTCTTTTCTCAAAACCAAGAATCTCGGGGACTTGCCGTTTTATGCTGGTATTACAAATTTAAATTACCAAATTTTTGCTGGATTAGGAATTTCAGGAAATCTGGGAGGAAATGGAGGGAGGCTAAGTGTGTATTTTAACCATGAGTTTGGTATGTGTCAGGGAACATCCTAGAATTCATACATGTACATGTCACCTTTATAAACTTAGCAAGTGAGCAAAACTAAGTAACACACTTTTATACACACATGCATTATATATGGTGGGGAGAAATATCGGGGTGAAGTTGGAGGTGCAGAGGTGAAAGAATTCGCCAGAGACAGGAGTGGAGAACAGAAAAGGTAGGTTTATTGAGATATACTGCAAGAGAGCAGGAAGTGAGATGGGCAAGGTCTGTGCACCAAGAAGAATTTAAGCCTTTCTTTTATTGCTTTTATCTGCTGGGATGTCTGACTTTGGGCATTTACCTTTGACACAATGTGTCCTGGCCCTGCTTCCCTGGTAGTGGTCAAAGGTGAGCTGTCTTATGGCCCGGTCCCCACAGTAACCCATGAATTCCAGTTATTTTCTCAAGCTTCCCCTACTTGCCTGCTTGGCAAGGAATAGGGGCTTTGTATTTAACCATAAAGAATATAGTGTTACCAATATTTGAGTATGCTCTAGAGAAAAGCAGTAAGGTGAAGGAAGAAGACAGCGATCGGATATGGAGGAGTACGCATGGTTATGCTGTGTCACGGGCTTACGATTTTTGTTGTTAAACTCCATTACTTAATATCTTTTGTGGTGTTGGTATGTAATAAAACAGCAAGTATGACTTATGCTTTCATGTGAAATTGTGCACATATGAGACAAATTTTTAAAAAATGGCATAGAGGGGCCCTCCCTGGTGGCGCAGCGGGTTAAAGCACAGCACTAAGAAGCTAAAGCCACTTCCGCATGAGTTCAATTCCCGCCTGCCCCGGAGGAGACCACATGGCGAGGCAGACCTCTCCTGACCCGCCCGCTGCTCCCCTCAGCAGTGTACTTCGTCGATCTGCCTGTTCTGCTCCCCACTCTGTCTCTGGTGAAGCCTCTCGCCGCCCCTGAACCTCTGGCCTGTACCCCAGTTCTGTATGAATAAATAAATCTTAAAAAAAAAAAATGGCATAGAGAATGTAGAACATATGCTTTAATAACGGGGGCTTTAAGCAGTTCAGAGCTGCACCAAACTTTTGTATGCAAACCAGCTACATACAAACTTTTCCAAGTGTTTTTTGGAAAAGCTGATAGGGAAAGTCACGCTAATTATGAACCAGTGAGTAAAAGCCCTTGTGTTTCCACCAAACTCGAGTACTAACAAATCAGAAGACTCATGGGCTAAGCAAAAGCATTCCCCGAACTATAGTTTCCACGAAAGAGCTTTCACTTTCCCAGCGAAATCCTAGTGGGAGATGTTGAACCTTCGCGGCTACATTTGCCCTATTCAAAGATGGCGGTGCTGGCGCCCAGAACATAAGTGTAGCGCATGCCCGGAAGTTACGCAAGACGGTAAGTTAGCGCGCCCCTACCCGTGGGGAGAGTTTCCGCCATTTTTGAAAATTGGGACGGTCCGGGGCTAAGTGGAGTGGCCGCCGCGATGGCAGCCTTTGCTGTAGAACCCCAGGCGCCCACTTTAGGTGAGTGAAAAACTTCTTTCCTCGCTGGCACTGCGATCCCCACCCTTGGTTTAGAAGCAGACAATACTGGCAAGCCGGAGTCAATCAGACACTCTTTGTGCTGGTTTCAGTCGCGGAGGGGTCGCCCCCAAGTTTCCAGTCTGTCTCCGGGTTGAGGCTTCGCCACCCTGCTGTGGTCTATGTGACCTCTGAACACCTGGGCTCTGTGAGGGGTTAGGAAATGGCTGTTGGGTGGGGAGTTTTGTGTCCTCAGCGGCGTCTCCTAGACTCACCCGTGCTACCTGAGACGGTGCCAAGGTCCCAGGAACTCTTGGTCCCTGAGTCCCGGGCCGCGTCGGGTGGAGGGCATTTACCCCGCACACTTGGGTGGGCGTGGTGAAGGTGGACTGCTCTTTGGTGACTTAAGCTTTTAGCTTCTGTTTGATTCCATCCCTCTCCCGAGCTTTGCAGAAGGAATGCTATTAATGGAAACTTGAATCGCAACACTTAACTAGCCAGGTGATAGCTGCCTTTGAGATACTACTGGCTTTACTAGGAAGCTAGAAGTTTTTATGATTTCCCCCCGCCTTTATCTTGGAAAGTGACTGAGTTTTATAGGAGGTCGTTTCCTCTTGTCAAACTGTGAATTAAAAAAAAAAATCATTCTCATTATTTATTGGGCAGGTTTGCTTAAATGTGCTGTTGGGAAAAAATGACCAATGTAACAGTATGTCAGAGTCCTTTTATTTTTTTATTATAGAATTTATTTATATATAATTTTCCTTTTGTCTGCTGAGTTTGGGACTTAGAAAAAGCGTTGGAAATGTTAGAACAAAAAATATGTAGTCTCTGCGTTAAAAACCGAAGTTACGGGCCCTTCCTAATGGCGCAGTGTGTTAAAGCACTCTAAAGCCACTTCAGCATGAGTTCGATCCCCACCCAGACGTTATCCACAGGGACAGACAGACCTCTTCTGACCCACCGGCTGCTTCCCTCAGCAGTGTACTAGTCAGTCTGCCTGTTCTACTCCTCACTCTGTCTTGAGTGAAGCCTCTCACTCTGTCGAGTGTAGCCTCTCACCGCCCCACACCTCTGGCCTGTACTCCAGTTCTGTATGCATAAATAAATAACTCTTTAAAAAAACAAACAACAACAACAAAAAAACGAAGTTACAATTTTTTGAGTTTGGAAAAGAGACCAAGTATAAAATACATCTGCAGAATGAAGTTTACTTCTTTTTAGATTTGAAGGATAAGTTTATTTTGAAAAAAGAGTAACTTAAGCTGTTACAGTATCAGTCGACAAACGAAATGCAGAATGTGGGTGCATATACTTTAATTCCATTTATGTGCATATGCTGGTGTGGGTATTAATATTTATTAAATATTAGAGATAGAAAAGTTTTATTTCCAGTTCCAAAGTATTCTATTTAACATAAACATTTTGGAATGCATTTCTTGGGGGTCATTGCCAGGTCAGAAATCTTGATACTAACCGATATTATTAAAAGTTCACAAAAAAAAAAAAAGTTCACACTTTGCAGCTTTTCCTGGTGAGAAACTAAACCCAGCACCTAATGGTATGTTATTCACCTAATGGTATGAACTGGTTGTTCAACAATACCAACTGAGTGAGACACAGTTCTTAAGTACTTTGGAAGTACTTATGTTGTGAAATGGTATTTACAATTTTAAGATCCATTGGTATAGCTCTCTTAAGTGAAGTTTAGTCCTGAAGGGTAGTTAGTGACAGTCCGTATTAAGAGCTCTGTGTCCCCCCTTCCCACTGACAATTGCTACTGAGCACACTACAGATGTGTGCTCAGGACTTTTCTTGAGTTACTACATACATACCGTACTTTTTCGTATGGGAGAGTGTACATAGTTGATCGTGCCTAAAACTTTATATTTATTATTATGAGTTTCTAAATAGTACAGAATATACTTTTGATTTTATACATGTTTGTTGGAAGTAATAGTACCACAGTACCTAGGACTTTAAAATAATTACAGTCAACATATTGTTTCAGTATTTGCTGTATTCTTTCCCAGAATTGCTTTTTCTTTTCTTTTTGTACTTGTTTCATTAATATCTAGGGCTTAGTGTAGGGAAGTTAAAGGAAAAATAGTTGATGGCCTGTGGATAACAAGAAACTTTTAAGGCTGCTTAAAGTTAAGAATAAAGATAGTGGAAATAACAAATGCTTGACCTTTCTGAGTGCCATGAGTCACATTGTCAATATGTTTCTTAGTTAGGATGCCAATAATACTCTTCTTTTATGCTCTAGTGTGTGCTTACATTTTTATAAAAATAAATGACTTTCAACTTTTTTGTGTGTGGGAAATAAAGTGAGACATACGGCAAGCTAGGCAAATCCTTCTGGTTGATTGACTAGGACTTGGTGTAAATAACTAGTGTATCCTGTTCTTTTCAGTTGTTAGAGTAAAAGCTGACCCAGAAATAGAAAGAATACTGCTTATATTAGGGATTTTTTTTTACATATTGCAAAAAAATCTTAATTGCAAAGTATTGATTCTTAAGCTTGTGAAAATTGTAAACAAAAACAACCATTGAAGATCAACATTGTACAAAATAATTTTACTTATTTCTTGAAACATTTTTTGTTTTTTAAATTAATTCAACTATAATTCATTAATCTATGATCGTTTCAGTTATAGTCTCACAATTATGTTAGCTACATGCCTCTTTTCATTAGATATAACATTAAAATTCTTTATTTTTTAATTCATTTAGGATCTGAGCCAATGTTGCTGGGTTCTCCTACATCTCCCAAGCCAGGGGTTAATGCCCAATTTTTACCTGGATTTTTAATGGGGGATTTGCCAGCCCCAGTGACTCCACAACCCCGATCAATTAGTGGCCCTTCAGTGGGAGTAATGGAAATGAGATCACCTTTACTTGCAGGTAAGTAGTTGATTAAAATAGTTTCATAGTGGTATTAGTACATGTACTAGAATTTTAAAGTGAATAATGCTGCAGCATTTGCCCTCATTTGCACGTTTATTAATTTAAAAACCAAATAGTACCTCTACATTTTTTATTTTTAAGACTTGGAAAAAAGATGTAAACAATTATAATTACAATAATTAAGCAATTATAATTCCAAAAGCCACTTATTAAAATGTGTACTATGAGTGTATACCTTATATATTTTGGATATTAACCTGTTATCAGATATGACTTGGAAATATTTTCTCCCACTCCCTAAGTTGCTTTCTTCGTTTTATTGAGGGTGCCTTTGCTGTATAGAAGTTTAGTTTGATGTAGTCACACTTATTGCCTTTGTTTTTTGGGAACACATGTTCCCTAAAAGCTAAAGTTTCTATTTTCTTGTTCTTGGAACTTTTATTCAAAATATAGTGTATGCGTTACTTAAGTAGTATGTATTGGGAACTTGTTAGAAATTAATTATCTCAGATTCTACCCACATATTCTAAATCAGAATCTGAATTTTAGCAAGATTCTTAGGTGAGTTTGAGTAGCTCTAAGAAAGAAAAATATAGTTAACATTTTAAAAATATAAATAAAACATTACCAGAGTGATGACAGATTTCTTTTTTCACCTTATTACATTTCTGGTACATTATAGGTGGGTCACCACCACAACCAGTTGTACCAGCTCATAAAGATAAAAGTGGAGCTCCACCAGTTAGAAGTATATATGATGATATTTCCAGCCCAGGACTTGGATCAACACCTTTAACTTCAAGAAGACAGGTAATGTACATGTCCTCATTCATGATCCACAATGAGTAATTTTTTTTTTTTAAAGATTATTTATTCATACAGAACTGGGGTACAGACCAGAGATGTGGAGGGTGAGAGAATTCACCAGGGACGAGTGGGGAGCAGAACAGGCAGATCGACGAAGTACACTGCTGAGGGGAGCAGCGGGCAGGTCAGGAGAGGTCTGCCACGCCTTGTGGTCACCTCTGGGACAGGCAGGGATCGAACTCATGTGGAAGTGGCTTAAGCTTCTTAGTGCAGTGCTTTAACCAGCTGCGCCACCAGGGAGGGCCAGAGTAGTATGTTTTTATGTGTTTATATAGTGGGTGGTCAGTTAATTTGAAATATTTTCCTGAGGTATTTTAGTGTAACTGTGTTGTATACACTAAGCATTCAGGACATTTATCATAGAACCTACTTAAATTGTGTTTATTGTGGAATGTACTTAGAAATGTGTTAGAACTAGGCCCTCCCTGGTGGCACAACTGGTTAGGGTGCAGCACTGCATGTTAGCCACAGCCACTTCAGCTCAAGTTCAATCCCTGGCCCTGGAAGTGACACAGATGGTACAGCAGATCTCTCCTATCTAGCCTGCTGTGTACTCAGCAGTGTACTTTGTCAGTCAGCCTGTTCTACTCCCCATTCTGACTCTGGTGAATCCTCTCACTGCCCCTGCACCTCTGGCCTGTACCCCAGTTCTGTATGCATAAATAAAATAAATCTTTAATAATTAAAAAAAAAAGATTTGAGAGAATTTGGTTTTTTTTTTTATAGATAATTCTGTGGTTTTTATAGGTATGCCTTTATGTCTGTGGCTTCAACCTACTTAATTTTTATGCAGAAAGTATGGTTTACATCATTAAAACCACTTAAAAAGTTCAAAGTTTTACATAATTTTCTTAAGAAATGAAGATTTAGAGCTTTCCAGGTACAGGGCACGTGGTAATGATTTGAGATCTTTATTGTAGCAGTGACTTTATACTATAGCACTAGTATCATTTTAGAATTTTTTTTTATTTCTTTAAAAAATTTTTTAAAAATTTATCTATGCATACAGAACTGGGGTGCAGGCAAGAGGGGCAGGGGCAGTGAGAGGATCCACAGAGACAGAGCGGGGAGCAGATCAGGCATTGAAGTACGCTGCTGAGGGGAGCAGTGGGTGGGTCAGGAGAAGTTTGCCGTGCCATGTGGGTCACTTCCGGGGCTGGGGATTGAAAAACACACTGAGGCAGCAGTGGCTACCTTGCAGTGCTGCGCTTTAACCTCCTGTACGATCAGGGAGGGTCTGTTTTCTAATTTCAATTACTAAAATCTCTGTCTCCTACTTTTTTATGACTTAAAGATTTAGTATATTGTTGGTGTTAAGTGTTCTGATGGTATTACTCAGTTTTAGATTATGCAAGGTTCAGATTCTTTGTTTTGATGGAGCTGATAGTGACAGAAGCATATCTCATGCGTAAGAGGTACCTATTGTGTACAGGCTCTGATCTTACAACTTTTCATATTTTATTTAATCCTTTAAATCTGAAGTAACTATTATGAGCCACATTTTATCATTGAGGAAACAGACACAGAAAGCTTAAGTAATTGTCAAGTCTGCTAATAGTCTATAGCAGAGACAGGCTTCAGACTCATGCATTTTTATATTTAGAGCCAGTGTTTGTAATAACCATACTGTGCTAATACTACTATGATAACTCATGATTGTCATATGAAAGGTAGAAAGCATTTTTCTTTTAGTTTGGAAGTATAGTAGCTTGTATAGTCACAGATGTTCTCTATCACTATTGTGTGTAATAGGACATATAAAAGGATATCAGTTAAGTTCTTAAGTTCTTTGTTTAAAAGACATTTCTGTTGGAGAAATGTTTGATTCCCTTCCTTAAATGAAATTAAGCATAGTTGTTAGTAACCATAAGAACATTAGAAAGCATCTTTCAGTGAATTTTGACCATTATAGACTTAATATGCATGAAATGCTAGCTTACTTATGAAGCATAGCAAAGTTAATTCATTCTTAATTCATTTCATTAAGCAGATTATATATAGTAGCCTCATATTAACTAAAGGGCTTACATTCCAAGACCTACAGGTATATCTGAAGTGGATAGTCTCAGATCCTAAATGTACAAGTTTTTTTCTTACACATACATACGTACCTATGATTAAGTTTAATTCTTGTCTGGGATATTCTTCTAAAAGCTGATAAATAAGTCTAGTGTTTAATTTGCTAAGAGAACTACCAGCTTATAAAATTAATGCTGGTTTTCCGTTTCTGGTGATAACATGAATGGAAAAGTAGATTATAGTTACTGGTATATTCAAAATGTTCCAAAAGTCTTATGGGTCACAATTTAGAGAGAATGTTTTGACTTGAAAGTTGGTAAGACCATTATTATTAGATTAAAACCAAATTAATTTTATTCCCTGAGACCTTGCTTGGCCTTTTTCTGATCATGAAAGAAATTGGGATTAAGCATTGAACAATACATCTTGTATCTATGCTGATAATGATCTCAACATTTGGTTCTGGTTGTTAAAAAGTAGCTAGATTTTAGATTCCTTAGTTTATCAGAATCTGTTAAAAAAAAGGAAAACCCGGGCTCTCCCTGGTGGCAGAACGCATTAAAGCCTTATGAAGCTCTCCGAAGCCACTGCAGCATGAGTTCGATCCCCGGCCAGGGAGCTGACCCACACGACGTGGCAGACCTTTTCTCACCCTCTCACTGCTCCCCTCAGCAGTGTACTTTGTCATTCTACTTGTTTTGCTCCCCACTTTGTCTCTGGTGAATCCTCTCACGCCACATCTCTGGCCTGTACTTGAGTTCTATCTAAGCATAAATAAATCTTAAAAAGAAAAGAAAAAAAAAGTTAAATATATGCCTTTAGGAAAAAAAAAACAGTTAGCTATGCACTTACTTTGAGAGAGACTATTCTCTTTGAGATTGATTTTATTTCTTTGTTTATTGAAGAAGTTTCAATGCCTTTAATTTTCTCACATTTTAAGGAACTAGTGTTGATAATTTACCAGATTTACCAAGTGTAATAGTTAAAGTATTCTGTGTTCTGTTTGTTCTGTCATATGACTTCAATCTAGTTTTTCATGGTTTAAAATAATACTGACACCTTTCTGTTTTTCTGTGTGAATTTGGTGAGTCCAAGAAGCACTTTTATCTCTTTGTGTCAAATATTATACCATAGGGACTAAAACCAAAAGCATTGTTTATATTTTATTAAAAATAATGCTTTTTACTTGATAAAACTTTTCTTTTTCTTTTTTTTTTTTAAAGATTTATTTATTTGTTCATACAGAACTGGGGTACAGGCCAGAGGCTCAGGGGCGGTGAGAGGCTTCACCAGAGACAGAGTGGAGAGCAGAACAGGCAGATCTATGAAGTACACTGCTGAGGGGAGCAGCGGGCAGGTCAGGAGAGGTCTGCCACGCCATGTGGTCACCTCTGGGGCAGGCAGGGATCGAACTCATGGGGAAGTAGCTTTAGCTTCTCAATGCTGTGCTTTAACCCGCTGCACCACCAGCAAGGGCCTGATAAAACTTTTCTTACTTTAAACAAGCAATATCCTGAAGAATCTAGCATGTTTTAGATTATTGTGTAAATTAGGAAAAAAGAACACGCATAGATTATGAGCTAGTTAGTGGCGTCTTCAGTGTCTGCTGCACATTCAGTATTCACTGTCTTTATGTTATGAACTTTGCATTTTTGCTTTAACACTTTCTTCTGTTTTTATGTAGCCAAATGTTTCAGTAATGCAGAGTCCTCTTGTTGGAGTTATGACAACTACTCCTGGAACAGGTAAGTCACTGCTTTTAACACCAAAGACTATTTTTTACTCTGAGTGAAGATAATATAAGATCTTTGTTGATAATTGCCTATTTTTTTCTTTTATATTTCAAGTGGGAGACCATCTCAATGTTAGTAACTTCCTTTATGATAGAAATATTTTCATACTGATTTTAATTTATAAACAAATTAAGATGTGACACCTTAAATAGTAAGAATTTTTAGAAAAAACTATTTTATATGTGCTAAGCTAGTAAAAACTATAAGAAAGCTGTTATAATTGGGAAAAAAATTAATATAGGGACTGGATAATGAAAGTGTTTTGAGAGACTGTAATACATGGCTATTATGTTGACTGTCGTTGACTACAGATAGCCACTAGATTTCTGCTCCATTTGTTCAAAACTATTTAGACTTTATGTCATGCTTCTGAAATTTCTTCCAGCCTCTTCCAAATGTGACTCCCAAGCCACTTCTGCATTTTTAGGTATTTATTACAGCATTATAACACTTGTGGTACTAAGATCTGTTAGTTTTATATTGCTGCCATAACAAATTACCACATATTTAGTGGCTTCAAATATACAAATTTGTTTCATAGTTTCTGTGGGTCAGCTATTTGGGCACTGTAGGGCTTTTATTGAATGAGGTGTCAGCAGGATTGTATTCCTTTCTCGCAACTATGGGATGAATATGCTTCCACGTATTCAGGTTATTGGTTAAATTCAGTTCAGTGTAGTTTTAGGATTAAGGTCTTTTCTTTACTGTCTGTTGCCTAGTGTGTGGTCTCAGCTTCTAAGAGTTTGCCCTTGTACCTTGTCTAGCGTCCCCTCCATTTTTAAAGAGAGCAGTGATAAGTCCTTTTCTTTGTTTTCAATCTTTTTAACCTCCCTATTCTGTTCTCTCTCTATGACTTAACTTTTCTGCTCTGTGCTCTTAAGTGCTCTTTTAATTACATTGAGCCTGGAAGTAATAGCACTGAAATAATCCAGGCTAACTCCTTAAGATAATTTGATTGATAACCTTAATTCAGTCTGTAGAGTTCCTTCATAACAACACTTCAATTGATGTTTGAATAACAAGTCAATCCAAGTAGGGGACAGAAATTTGGGAGGAGGTATATTTTGATTTCAGTTGATGACATATATAGCATGGTGAAAAATCTGGAATATTGTCTCAGTCTAATACTTGCTTGAGATCTAATGTTCTCTGGAAATTAGTTTGGACTTTAAAAGTCATTATTTGAAATAGGTAGATGACAGTGCTTTGTTACATAACTATTTGTTGCAGTAGTGGCTCTTTAATTGAGTCAGTAACGTTGATCCCTGGTACACTGAAAATGCAAAAACACAATGTTAATGTATTTTTTGCTCTAAAGGAGCTCTTAATTTCTGAAAAGCATGCACTACAATCTTAATGTCAGATGAGAGAGTACAAAATTAATCACATACCCTTTTATAAACTTATTTTCTTCTAATACTATGATTTCTCTGAGAAATGTGAAGCTAGAAGAACAATATTAGAAAAATGTGCCTGTTGTTAAGTTGGCCACTGGGAGCCACTGCTGCTTCAGCTTTGAGTTAAAAAAAATTATGTATAGAAAATCTTTGTGGTGCATAAGTGAAAAGGAGTATTTTTGAGAAGATGTGATGGGCTTCAGGAGCTATCATGCATGGCCAATAAACAAGAAATGGAGAAAAGGAGTTGACTTGAGAAAATTGAGAGATAAAATTGACTTTTCACTTGAAGTTAAGTTTTTTAAGCCCCTATATTTAGGGTTATATAAATGTAATTTTCTTGTATAGTTATAAATTTTAATTTTCTGAGATTGGCAACTTTATAAAAAGATTTGTGGGATTTAATGGCAGTGGCATTTTACACTTAAGTCTTTATGTCCACTAAGGAGTTTTTACTTGTTTAATGTTTAAAAATTTCTTTCAGAATGTTACTAATTATGAAGGAAAACCCTGGTTATCTGAGGAAGTGGGAAATATGAGTAAAAATTTCAGAAACTTTTCAACTAAATTATATTGTTATTCCTGGTAAAGAATATTGAATATATTTGCCCTGTCTTTCCTCATCCTCACCCAGCTGTTTTCTTTTGTTGCTATTTAAATATTCTTCTACTTAATTCTTTTCCCTAATTTTTTTTTCTTGTTTTCTTGAGAAGTTCTTCTACTTATCTATCAGCTTTTTTCTCAAATAATGTACCCCTTATATCTGTTGAGTTAGAATCTTTATTTGTGTTAGCTTATTGTTACTGGGTTAAGTGGTATTTAAACTATAGCAACATTTGGCTGCTTTTATTGATGTTATCACAGTTCTGATAGTGTTCTGGGGATATGGACTAAAGGACTAATTTATCAAAGGGACCTTTCCCCCTTTTCTGCTCAGGGTTAGCACTCCTTGTATGTGCGTCTATAAAGCTCTTTCTGCTTAACTCTACCTCTTTTTAGTACTGGATTACTAACTCCTGGATAGGGATTCTTTCTGTATCTTTTTTTTTTTTTTCTTTCTGTATCTTTAGGGTTTGTCCACTTTAGAGCTGGGTGTAAAGGGTGTAAGTGCTTTCTGAATAGATTGATGGATGCATGCAGTGAATTAAGTTTTTGGAGACAGGTCCAAAATCAGCTTCTTTAGGCTTAAATTAAGGTATTGGTAGGACTGTCCTTTTGGTGAATCCATTTCCTTGGTTCCTTCCTTCCTCATCTTCTAGCAGTTAGCTATATTATTTGCTTTTTGATTCCTTTCTTTCCTCTTCAAAGTGCCTACAAATTATTTTATCCCACCACTTCTCTGTGTAAAATCTCCCACCCTCTCCTTGTAAAGACACTAGTGTGTATATTGGAGATAAACCTGAATAATTCTGAATAAACTTTGTGTCTAGATCCTTAATTTTATGGCATTTCCACAACCCTTTTTGCTGTGTAAGTTAATATTCATGAGTTCCAGGGCTTAGGATGTAGTCATCTTGGAGAGCTGTTGTTCATTAATTTTGCTAATTCTTGATTTTCATTTTTCAATATTACTATCTCAAGGTATTGATACTACTATATCTTACCTCTCCCACTTCTGAATACAATTACAAATATCAAACTTTATTCATTTGTCAGTGTCTTTTATATTATGATGATTACATAAACACTGTTTAGTGCTGAATCAAGTAGTTTTTATCATTTATCCTTTCTGTAAAATTTTTATTTTAAGTTTTCCCCCCTATTTGTCTAGTTTTCATTGTGCTTTTTGCTCCTTTTAAGTAAATATTCTGTTGCTATAATACATATATGTATATTTTAATGCTCAAACACAATTTCAAACATTTTGTTTTAAACTGAGAACTTCTCTTTCTTTGTCTTTTTGGGGTATGTTTCCTTCTTCAGCATGGTACACAGCTATCATCCTGTGATATGTTTGAGCAGTTTTTAAGAATTAGGTGCTTAATTTTTAAAAAAAAATTTTTTTCCCTAGATAATGCATTTTCTTCTTTTTTATTTCCTCATTTTGGTGAAGAACTTATTTGAGTAGCTTTCTCAGAGAGCTTCAGGGGAAGTAAAATTCTAAGATCTAAATTCTGAAGTGTTTTTCCCTGTCTTCAAATGGACTGCTAGTTTGATTGGGTATAGTATTTTAGGCCAGAATTCTGTAGGTATCATTTCATTGTCTTCTAGCTTTCAGTGTTCTATGGAAATCATTTGTGATGATGGTAACTTAGTCTTTATATAGGTAGCTTGATTTTGAAAAAATAGATTTGTATATGGCTAGTGTTCTGTCTCACAAATGTGCCTGGGTATGGGAAGGTGATTTCATTTGCTTTGCTGAGAATTAAAAAACTTTCCAGTTCTGGAAAACTTGTTCTCTCTTTTAGGAATTCCTTCAGTTTGTAAAGGATATCTGCAGAAATTTCTTAAGTTTCTTCTTTCTCTCCCTTGTATTATCTTTTTTTTTTTTTTTTAAGATTTATTTATTTATACATACAGAGCTCGGGTACAAATCAGAGGTGCAAGGTTGGTGAGAGGCTTCACCAGAGACAGAGACGGGAGCAGAACAGGCAGATCTACAAAGTACACTGCTTAGGGGAGCAGCGGGCAGGTCAAGAGAGGTCTGCCACGCCATATGAGTCACCTCCAGGGCTGGGGATCGAACTCGTACTGAAGCAGCTACCACCAGCTTCCGCAGTGCTGCGTCCTTACCCGTTGCACCCCCAGGGAGGGCCTCCCTTGTATTATCTTTAATATAAGCTGTATCCTTCTTCCTGAGAGATATCCACAATTTCAGTTTCCAGCACAGCAACTTTTTAATTTTGTCTGTCATTTTTATTTTCAGGAAACTTTTGTTATTTTCTGAATGTGCTTAAAAGGGCAGCATCCTGTATTTTTCATATATCAGTGAGATTAGTGTTGGTCTTTTTTTATTCCTGCTCATATTGTTCTCCTACTTTTTATTTGTTTCTCCCTCTACTTTTTTTCTTAGTTGAATTGTATTTATTGAATTAGGTAAAGCTATTTAGACTCTTGTTTGTGTATCATTATTGGTAGGAAGGGGGAAGTTGGTGGAGAAAAGCTGTTCTATTCCTTTATTGGGTTTCATTGTAAGGGGATTGGACAGCTAGCTTTTTTTGTTGTTGTTGGAAAAATTTCTGATTTTAGCATATGTATGTATTTTTTCTCTTAACTTTTCACAAAGAATAATTCTTTAACACTCAACTCTAATATTTAAGCCGATGTTCTGAATATAGAAAGAGGGAGAATTCTCTTTTCAACATGCAGATTTGTGCTTGATCTCTTTACCTTATTCTTTGCTGTGACTAGGTTCATTGGGATTGGAGCCATTTAGATTCCTTTCTACAGAGACT